GAGACACGGACATTTATAGTAAAACAACGCAAAATGCCGCTTCGAAACTAACAGCCTTTCTAGGCTACCGCCGCTTTGGGCTAATAAATTAAATTAACAGTAAATAAAAAAAAAATCTTATGCAGAACTAAAAATTAAATTAAAAAAAATAATCACTATAAAATACAAGCAAAATTAATTAAAATTATTTATTACGGTTAAATACAATTTTAATATTAGAATTAAATGTATAAAAATTTTTAAGAAGTCAAACGTTTTTATCACTATGATGTATTATGAAATATAATTCAAATAAAGTTCCTTTATAGAAATTAATGCTATAATACTCATCTATATTTTAAAAAATCATCACAATTAAGAATTTTAAACAAAACTTTTCGAAAATTCGTTTTTAAATAATTTAGTATTTTTTATTTATTTACACCAATAAAAAGCAAAAAATTGCAAGAGAAAATTGCTTGTTTGAAATTTTCTATTAGTTCAGATTTAAAATATTATTTTCTAAAAGAAGTAGTTACAAATTTCCTTACAGCATAGGGAAAGCTAAAAAATATCCAGTCCTGAAAGCATGCAATAGCTTTATTTGGAACGTTAATTATGCTTCATAAATATGCTAAATTTTTAAAAATAAGTCTCAATTTCAAAAATAAAAATATGTAGAAATTCTATTTTGCGAAATGAGGCGCTACAACCAGCGTTTTCTTGACAATTATACACGCTGCAATAGGCAACCACTGTTAAATTTTTGCAAGTCGTCCCTATTCCTTCGGATGTGATCAAGTTGAAAGCCGGCAACGCCTCAGGACGAGGGACAAAACACGTTTTGGTTAGTCTATGTCTTATAAGGTTCATGATATGTCAGAAATGTGTCTGTTTACATTTTGCATTACTTGACTTCGTTTTATGCTTCGATAATATCTGAATTTTATGCTTCGATAATATCATATATTTATAATGAGTGAAGAATCTTTCAATATAAGGCCCTTCTCATGGCCAAATACTTAGAAATATTGTGAAGATTCTGAATATTAGAATATATAACACCAATTTAAATGAGCTGGATGATGATGCGAATGATCATTCACAACAATGGATCTGAAATTCACAGTTCCGCTTTGATTACGATTGGTAACATCTTTCAGAAAACTATAATTTCAAAGTCTTTCAACTGTTTTATTTGCAAAAAGTGTTTTTCAAATGCCACCAATTTATAGCATCATTTGAAGAACATACTTTCCAATAAAAAGCATATTTCTACTGCTGAAATATCTAACTTCCTAATTCAGATCGTGCATTCATGAAAGTCGTCAATGGTAATTCGATTTCATATACTTTTGCTTCAAAATCCAGTATAACTTTAAAAAACTTTTAGCTGCCCTGATTCCAAAAAATATTTCTCAAACAACAGCAATCTAAAATGTCACTGCATGCAAATTACATATGTCACAACAAGCAACAGTTACTCAAAGCCAGTAAAAGTAAAGATTTCCAATTTAAATGCAGTTTATATAGTCGTCAGTTCAACAATAATAAAAATTAACTATTTTCACAAGCAGATAGTGCATTCACTGCCCTTGAGCCATCATAAAAAAAATTATATAAATGCCCATTATGAATGTTTCCCAAACGTAAACTTTTCATTACATTTGCAAATGGAACATGAAATAACCATTGATAAAGAACAGAGCGAGAGAGAATTCTCTGTGTTTAATGATTTTATGCTCTGGAAGGAGAATTTTAAAATAAAAACATAATGTAATTTTTCTTTTAAATTTATAAAAGGAACATGACCAATTACATGTAAAAGATATTTATTTTCTATGCCATCATTCAGAACATTATATAACTTAAGTGGAAGGTATGCGACATTTAAAAATTACAAGGGAGTAACAAAATTAATGCTTATTGCTCAGCCTCTATAAAAGTAAGACAGTTTAAATAATGGAAAATGTACTTCTTTTATAGAAAAACCCATGTAGGCAATAGAAAGGGTATAGGGCACTGTCTCTCACAAAATTAGAACGGCAGTTATGCCGTTCTAATGTAATTTATGTAACTTAAATTGCTGGAAAAGCCCCTTTTGATGCAATTTTAGATAAAATTCAAGATTCTGTATATGATACTGGGCTTGAGAGATTACATGTTTTGACAAAGAATGATTTACGGAATATTGAAAATTCGGTACTCTTCTCTTATCAGAACCAGATTCAGAAATGTATGCATGTATGGCTGATGGATGTGTTCATGTATGCGTATACTATATGTGTATATATATATAAATGTATGTGTGTGTGTATACACACATGCTATATGCACATACATACTTACATACATTTCTGAACCTGTTCCGAGTAACAGAAGTACCGAAAATTCTTATAATCTACAATCAAATGCTGTAAGGCATAAAAAATATTGTATAAATGTAGGAGCCTGGGGTTAACGAAATGACTAGTGAGGACACAACTGTATTTTATTTTACAAGCTTCAAAATAGAATTTTAGAAAGTTATCCTGAATTTTAAATGATGATTTGGTATTAATGAAAATGAATGTCTCCCAGAGGCACTTTCTACAGAAGTTGGGATCAAACTGTATATGTATAAATGGTACACTTAGGTTGAACAGTTTACGGAATTGAACTAGTCGCACTGCTTGTACTTGATGCTTTGCTTCACGGCTTTCCGTATGCATTTATTATTACAAACAGAACTGACCATTAAGTTTTGTCTGTTTTCTTTGCACATCTGAAAGATAAAGTATGTCAGTTAACACCCAAAGTATTTATGAATACAAGCTAGTTTTGGCTCACAATCAGCCGAGCGGTAAAGTCGCTGAACACTGGTAGTTTGGTAAGAGTTTCAAATTCCACAAACGGGCTGGTTGCATGAGCAATCCATTATTTTCTCCATGTGTAATTTGTACGAGCCAGTTTCCCTTCAAATGTTCTCCCCAAAGGCATCACTCCCCTTAGGCATATAGCCATCAAGTGCTTTGAAATAATAAAATAAACCAAACCAACAAATAGTTTTGCTTAAAAAGTCTTCCATGAAGGTATTTCTTCCCCCACATGATCTTTGCCATATTCCTGTTCCAACAATCAAATCAACACATTGTTATTTAACTACTTAATTTGAAAGTTTTATAGCAGATTATGAAATATACATTATATTAATGCAAAAATATATTTTTTACTCAATTCTGGAGGAGTAGGCAAGCGTTCATTTTCCCCTTTCCTGCAGATTCCTATAGTCTAGCATTTTCAAACCTGTCCCTAGGCCATTGGCTGCCCGTGTACTTTCCTGAGATCGGAGCGCCCAAATTTTTTTTAAAAATTCTTAATGATTAGTTACATTTTTATTTCATATTCATTAAGTGCTTTTTGACAAAATGTATAAAAAGTATTTACATATGGCAAGTACAATGAATTAAAAATATTTAATCATGGTATCTTGAGTGTCCAGCTGTTGCGTACTTTTACATGCTGCACTCTTGTTGAGAAACGCCTATAGAAGGCGCTGTAACCCGCCTGGTTTTTCAGTGTAGAATTGCTTAATTAATGAGTAAGAATGCTTGTAAGAGAGTCGCCGGCCCTAATAATTAACGGCACAATTAGTACTACACTTTATTTCAGTAATCTTGTAAATAAATTTATTTGTTGTTGTGTTCAAAAACTGAGCCTTTCATCGCCTATTACGTACAAACTGAACCACTAAGATAGTTACAAGTTTTGGATTAGAAAAAAGCGCCACATGGTGAATCGTCAGCGAGAGAATTCAGAGACTATTAGGCCATTATATTTTGGATTACCCAATCCCGCTCGGGAGGAAATAAAAGGTAGGCTCTCATTTTGTATTTATTTTCGATCCTTGGATGTATTTCTGTTGTACTGTGTTAAGAAAATGGCAGCGTTAGAACTAGCAAAAGCTAAAAGAACAGCAGTTTGAAAATTAACAATCCAGTTAATTAACAAAATTGATGCTAAATTAAAGTCAGGAGAGGAGCTCGATAAGCAAGATTTAAGAAACGATTACGAGCTCTTAATAGAAAGAAGTAACGAACTGAAAGCTCTCTACAGTGAAATCGAAACTTCCATTGCAGTTGATCAAATGGAAAAAGAGGTTACGGCGAGTCAGGAATATAAAGCGAAATGCTTGAAATACTAAAGTAGAATATTACGTTACCTTGAAAGAAAAACTAAGATTGAGTCAGCTTCAAGTGATTCGCATAATCAAAGTACGAATGTCTCTTTAAGTGAAAATTTAAGAATTTAAGAAATCAATGTTCAGTTAAATTGCCAAAGTTAGTAAATGAAAGATTTTCTGGAGATCCGAAACATTGGCAAAATTTTTGGAATAGCTTCGAAATGTATGATTGATAAAAATGAAAGCATTTCTAAAGTTGAAAAATTGGCGTATTTTAAAACCTTTTTAACTGGTCAAGCTGTCAATGTTCGTTTTAGGATTCGAATTACCTAACGATAATTATGACAACTGCGTAAAAATGCTGAAAGATACGTTCGGGAAAAGAGTGAGTGAGGTTTTTGGCGCAAAACCAAAGATGATTATGATGCGCCAAACACAAGGTGAGAGGATCAAAATTTCTGAAATTAAAATACAATAACTAAAAAACAGGTGGACAAACGTACCAAATCCAGAGGATGAAGTCATATAAAAACAAGGCACATGTTAAAATCCAAGACACAATCTTCAAAACAAATTACATTAGGTAGTAAAAGGCAGTCTCTTTTAAATAATAAAATAAATTACAATTAGCCTCTCTTCCGATTAAACGGTCGAGAGGTAAGTCATAGCTATTAAAATATTTCCGACGAAGACTATTAAAATATGGACACTCAATTAAATTAGACAAAACAAATTAATTGAACAACCCTTTCCACTTTAAAAGTATTAGTCACTCCTAAAAGAATTTTGTAAAACTCTCTCAGTGAAATGCTCAATGTGCCTTTTCTAACAAGCTTAAGCGCTGTTCGAAATTCTGGACTCACGACTTCTGGTCATAATAAACTTCGGAACGCATGCAGTGGCTCTTTGCTGATTGCTGAAGCTCTTACGTTGTGCGAACGCTGAAGCAGAATACTTTGATTTTTTTATGGTTTTAAGGTTGGATGTATTTTAGAGAGGTAAGAATACATTACTTTACTTCTGTAAAGTATTCTAATTCTGTAAAATATTTCTAATTATATCAACGTTTTTAGGCGTATGTTCTAGTATACATGTGTTATTTCTGGTAGAGACAAGGCTGCTGTGCTATGTATAATTTCTTTTTGAATAATGTTGTGTCAGCCCATCGTAGAATAAACGGGCTTTGCATAATTATATTACCTGATCTGTTTCAGAATAAAACATTTTTTTATGGACCTGTATAAATTTGATGTTATAATATAAGCTAACACAGCTTATTCTTAAAATTTTACATGCCATTAGCTATACACTATAACTATTTACTCCCTTTTATATATTAATTTAAATAAAAACATTTCAGTTATTAAAATGCCGGGTAGATGCTGTGTACCATTATGTAAGGGAAACTACCCAACAGGACCAAAAGTGTCTGTATTCTCCTTTCCTAAAAATGAAGATTTGAAGAGAGAGTGGCTTTCTGCAATCCAACGGAAAGACTTTTCACCCAAAAAGAGTTCAAAGGTAAGTAAAGTAGAGTTATTAATTAATAGTGTAGATTCTAATTACATATAAGGGTTCATTCAGAAATTTTTAAATGATAATATTTTGTTACATAAACCAGGATATACAGAAATAAAGGATTGAAATAGAGCTTTAATCACTGCAAATATTCTCTGGTTCTATCTGTGAAATGAATATTCTTTACTACAAATGCTCAGAATGAACCCTCTGATTTTTAAACTATTACTATTAACATAATGTTTTTTTTTTTTTTTTTTTTTTTTTTAATTTTCTCTAAAGGTTTGTGAATTGCATTTCAAGGAAAGTGATTTTAAAGTTGAAGCTTCAGCATTTGATTCTAAGAATGGAATTTTAATTTCTGCTCCACTTCAGGTGCGTAGATTAAAAGAAAATACAGTGCCATCAATATTTAAGGACTATCCATCTGTATACAGTTCAAAAAGTAGCACCATTGTACGAGAAGATCCTGATGCAAAAAAAAAACTGCCCGCGAGTGCCATAATTTACAGAAAGCATTGCGTGAAAGCCTTAAAGAATATGAAATGTATAATAATGATTTGAAAATTAATTGTTCTAATGATATTTTGTCATGTATTGATCGCTATGGAATATCAGCATTTTGGCATGTATACACAGTTCCAGATACCTCAACTGTTTGCTTTATTCATATTGTTTTTAGTCCTGGGCCATCAATTGATTATTCTGTAGTTGTGAATGACAATCAAGAAATGTCTGTATTTATTAAAGAAAAATCTATTATGCAATTATCTCCTTACACATTCCCACATAAAGTTACAAATTTTAATGAAATTAGGACTGTTTTAGATAAATTGGCTAATCTTCAAACCAAAGAGTTAAATTCAAAATTAACCATAACAATTGATATAATTAATGAATTACTGCAAACTATCTCTAACGACAAAAATGAGAGCATTATTAAATTTTTGCAAGACCAGATGAATCTTTTACTTTGCCCTAAAAATAATTTTAGATACAATCCTGATGTACTAGTGTTAGCATGCTTGTTAAATACTATATCACCACATGCATATAAATTTTTAAGGGATAGTGGCAGTATTATTATGCCTCATCCTTCGACTTTAAAAAAAATTTGTAGCAATTTAGTATTGTCACCATGTAATGAAACTATTGATGAAAATTTTTTAAAATATATAAAAAATCGTGTAACTTTCCTTGAGGATCGAGAAAGAAAAGTGATTCTTTTGGTAGATGAAATTTATGTTCAGCCATATTTTGATTACAAAGGAGGCTCTGTCGTTGGGGCTGCATTTGATTCTTCCAGTCCGGCAACCAGTGCATTTGCTTTTATGATATCCAGTTTGGAATCTTCATTCAAAGAGGTAGTACATATTATGCCTGTTAACACAATAAATTTTGAAACATTACATTATGTAATTAAAAAAGTGATTAGAGGTCTTGAAAATATGGGAATTATTGTTATTTGTGTTATTACAGACAACAATGCAATAAATAGAAAAGCCATGAGTTTGTTTTCAAATCCACCACGTAATTCATTTGTTTACAAACATCCAATGAATGGGAATAGGCCTCTTTTCTACATAATAGATGCAGTTCATTTATTTAAAAATATAAGGAACAATTGGCTGAACCAGAAAAATCCTGGTACATGTATGTTTTTTCCAAATATTGAAGATCTTTCAAAGAAGCACTTCAAAACTGCTTCGTTTATGTCTTTGAGAAAGCTACATGAAATTGAAAATGACCAACTGATTACATTTTCTAATGGTTTAACTCTAAAAAGTCTTTCACCTTCTAATTTAGAGAAACAAAACATTAAACTGGTTCTTAAGATTTTCAATAAATTTACTATTGAAGGTCTGATTCATTTGGGTCCTTTGCATGAAATACCACACTATTCAGATACATCTGAGTTTATATCCATAATATGCAAATGGTGGGATATTATGAATGTTAAAACTATGTTTAAAGGTATACATCAAAAGAGTGAATTTATGAAGCCATTAACAGCAGATGATTCTGATCCAAAAGTTATTTTCCTCAATCAGTTTCTTAACTGGTTAGATGCATGGGAATCAATGAAATGTTCAACAGGCATGCTTACAAAAGAAACTCATGCAGCTCTCAAACAAACTACTTATGGTATACTGGAGTTGACTAGATATTGTGTTGAAGAGCTTGGAATGAAATATATACTTCCAGGAAAAATTCAGACTGATGCTCTTGAAGCCCGGTTTGGTAAATACAGACAACTTTCTGGTTCTCAGTATCATATTTCAATGAGACAGTTATTAGAATGTGAAAAAAAAATTAAGAATACAATCAAGTATTAAGTTAGAATTGATTATTAAAAATACTACTGTCCCTTTAACATCATTTGAATATGATGATAATCTTCATGATATTATAGAATTAGATAATACAGTATATTACCCATCATTAAATATTACGGAGAGTGATGTGAAGGGCATTAGTAGCCATCTGCCAGTTCTGACTTATTTGGGTGGTTACTGTTGTCATGCAGTTTTAAAGAAAGTGAAATGCTGTACCTGCAAACAAAACATTACAATAAATTCCACAGTTAATCATGATCAAACGTATGATCTTATAAAGAATCTTGATCGTGGTGGACTCAGGTGGCCAAAACCATTTATTGTAAATATAATTATGTATAATTATTTAATTGTAAATAAGCTGTGTGTAGTGAAGAATATGAAGATTTTTTGTTGGAACAAAATCAGAGGAAAATTGTTGCAAATTTGACTTTTAAAATTTTAGAATTAAAAGAAATGCTCTTTGATGATATTATTTGTGATAATGGTCATACAAAAGTATAAGCAAACTGATAATTTGGATATCAACAAATATCATGCTCAAGAATCTTTGCAATAGGAAAAATGACGATATTAAGTCCAATAAAGAAAAAAAAAGACACTTGCAAAGTAACATTGATGCTGTCTTTAAAAGTAATTTTTAAAGTTCTCTCAAACTGCATCTTTGCTAAATATCTACGTGTCATCTTTGGTGAGCAGCTGAGATTTAAGAAGCATGTTTGTTATACATTTAAATTGCTTTATGCCAAAATTTATTTTGGACTTGTATATATTATTCTTTGCTTATTTAACCAAGTTTTTAATATTACTCAAGATTTTATATAATTTTTAATTTGCTTTATACTAAGTTACTTCTCAAGGTCCTGAAATTTCTATATTGTATTTACAAGCGCCTTTGCTAAATATCTACGTGTCATCGTTGCTGAGCAGCTGAGATTTAAGAAGCATATTTATTATACATTTAAATGCTAAATATCATAATTTATTCTGGACTTGTAGATATTATTCTTTGCTTATTTAGTTATTTAACCAAGTTTTTGGTATTACTGAAGATTTTATATTATTTAAAATTTTCTTTATACTCAGTTACTTCTCAAGTTCCCAAAGTTTCTATTTTGTATTTCAATTGTGTTTCTTAAAATGTTCATCATTATTTAAGATTTTGTATCCTGCAATTACATGGCATAGTGTAGTAGTGTAGTGTAGAAAGAACATATTACATGGCATAGTGTAGTAGTGTAGAAAAAGACAAATTCCATAATGTCTTCTTTCTGCACAATCTAACTCTAATATTTCTATTTATGCAATAATTGTATGGACTCTTTCTGGATAGTACTACATGTTCAGCTCAAGTAATATTTGCTCTTCACATTATTCACAGTGAATAAGCACAAATCAATCTACTAATATACCCGTGTGGTGACCGGGTGTGAAAGAATAGTCCCAATGTAGCTCATACATGTCGTAAAAGGCGACTAAAATGGGTACCCAGCGTCTGGGGGTATAGCCGGGCCGGGCACCCTGCTCCTGGGGATTATATCAGGGAACTGGTCCTCCAGGTTGGGGGTTGGGTGTGGGGCTAACTACCCCACCCCATAAAAAATCTCACTGTTAAGAAATCCAAAGATAGAATTAGCCGGACTGCTTCTACTGGAAAACGACTTGGAAATGGCCTAGGGACTTTTCGTTTTGGAACATGAAAAATAAGCAAACAGACTAAAAGTTTGAAAAGTTATTGAAATAATTAAATAAAGAATGATGAAGTGTGACTGCAAGGGACGTCCGGTATCCTTTTCTGTCATTGCACTTTTCCTGACATGATAAGGCTCTACCACGTACACTTTGGTAACGAGGCTTGGAAACCTCGGCTAACACCTTGTTGTTTATTAAAAAGAAAAAGAGACATACAGCAATAATTATATTTCATAATAATAATTTTGACCCAAGCTCTATAAATATATATGATATTAATTTATAAGTCTTTACAAAGTTACATACATACTAGGTCTTTATAACATTTCACCTGTATAATAGTTATATGATATATGATTTTAAAGACTAAAAAATAAATTTGTTCTGTTTTTTTTTTGTTTCTTTGTTTCAGGTATTCATAACGAAGAAAGGAGTGTTTTTATCATGAAATGGCTCTCAGGTGTAAAAATGCATAGGATATATCTTAGTTTATTGAAGTTAAGAATTGGTGCTTTGTGGACTAAAAAATATGTGCAATATCCATTGTCACACCACTCTGTTCAAGAATATCGATCAGTCCTGAATGATAAAGAAAATGATTAACAAAGGAATATCTAGAACTTGATTGTGTGCATGATTTAATTCCAAATATAAGTATTGGAATAATTCATCCTCCTTATTTTCAACAAAAACTCTTCATTTGGTAATATACATTTGTGCTTATCAGTGTGGTGTCTTGTGTAACAAATCGTCAGTATTATAAAATAGATGGAAAGATCTTTGATTATTGCAAGAGCTTTATGTGCTGAAGAAGTAAAAAAATGTCCCAGATAATTGTGGATATTATGAAACTGAGTATCATAAGAATGGAAAAATATTTCTTAAACAAATTACCTTGTGATGCATGTAATGGGTATGTTTATTTTATTTCATATAACTGTAAATTTAATTATTATTGATAATAAGCAAACTTTTTTTTTTTCCCTAAAATGCCATTGGTGTATTGTCATTATTCTATATTGACATGTATTCTCTTACATTTATCATTGAAACCAGAGATTTTATAATAGAATATGGGAAACTTGTGTTGAAGGCCTGTTGATTGAAATACAAGTGACCATTACATCTTTGGAATTTGCATTCTCATTGCCAATTTTGAAAAGACATTCTTTTACATTTTCTTAAAAAAGTTAACATTCTAATGACTTTAGAAGTAAACATTGGCGACTTCATATGAACCAGTCTCTTGGCGAGTTTAGCAAAAAATTTGCCGATGGCTTCCCCATAACAGAACTGTACTGGATTCTATACCTGAATATTGCATTAAAAGGAGAGAAAACCATTTATTATGAAGATAATAAATGATTCATATTACGAATGTTCATTTCTTATAATGATCGAGTTTTATATTCTTGCATTGTATTTCTTTTGTGTCAACACAGAATAAATTGTGTCGGATTTCAGTTATAATGATATGTGTAAAGATGCTGTAATAAAATTTGTTATAAATGTACTGTTGTGTATTTTTCTTTAGCAGTTGAATTTATGAAAATTTGTATTATTTTCTAACAAATAAAATTTTATATTTTAATATAAATCCATCTATGGACATTACAACAGATATTATATTCTGGAAAATAATTTATTATGCCTTTTCAAAACTAAGTTTAAAATGAAAACAAACTTGAATGCATAATAATTTTTAATGAATAAATAAAATGTGAAATATGAAAAGTGTTCTGACATGTCACATTAAGACTGCAATCAAATAAAGAATTCTTTATACGTGCATTGGTTTTTGTTTACAATTTGCATAGTCTTGAATATTTTACTGATCTAAATTCATTTTAAAAAATTTGGTGTCATGATGAGTAGTGATTTTAGGTAAAAGTTTACAATTGGGTGTCCCTTGTATTTTGGCGATTCTTTTTTGACACCAAGATTGGCGTCAGGAAGGCACAATTTCAAAATGGCCGCTATACAAAACCAAAATAAGAAGTCAAAGAATCGCACAAGCCCACCAGTGGGCAAGCGGTAAAAGCCGCTGAACACTGGTAGTTCGGTCCAGGGTTCGAATCCCGGCAAATGGGCTGGCTGCATGGGCGTTTTCGTGGCTTTCCCCATGTGTAACTTGGATATGAGCCAGTTTACCTTAAAAAGACCTCGGTTTAATCCTAGTATCCGGTGCACACAGGATTTGGCGACTTTATGATGAGCAGTAAAAACGGGACATATATGATGAGTAGTAAACGCGTCATTCAAAGAATATATATAGTTATACATAGCATATACTATGTATATAGTGTATAGTATATACATAGACGTTCTTTGGGTCATTTTTGGTGTTGGCGATAAGTTTCAAAATCGCACCAAGGCTGCACCGTATACTAGGATTTTAAAAGTTTAATCCTAGTATCTGGTGCACAAGGGATTTGGCTACTTTTGCCCACTTTATGATGAGCAGTAAACGGGACATATACGATGAGTAGTTAAACAGGTCATTTTGATGTTGGCGATAATTTTCAAAATTGCACCAAGGCTGCACCGTATACTAGGATTTTACCAAGACCTCCACGGGGCATTCCTCCTTTTCCTGTAGTGCCTAAAGGCGGAGCATGTAATAAGTAAAAGGAAAAAAAAAAAAAAGAATTGCACGAACTCTGTGTCCATGTACACATCGATATGTTTTCACTTAAAAAAGCATCCTAGAATTGCACAAACTAGGCATTGCGCACTGCCTTAAATTTGTCCATGTACACATCAATCTATTTTCATTTAAATAAGGAAGCTAAAACAAAGTTAAAACTATCATGGTAACCTGAAGCGAGGTTTCATTGCAAAAAAAAAAATGTCGCTGATCAAAGGGGCACCCAATTCTACACTAGAGCCTGATTTTATTTTCTTAATATATATATATATATATATATATTAATGTTTAAAAACTGATATCATTTTTACTTTAAACAATATTCCCGAAAATATATGCTCTCTTTTGTGAAATGTTTACTTTATAATCTGTGCAAAATATTACCATAAATAAAAAAAACTTAATTATTTCTTAAATATAAAGTAATTAAATACTTTCATTATCCCTATGATTATAAGAATTATAACTGAAAGGGCATAAACAAAAACACAATTAAAGGAAATGCAGTACTGAAAGTTTCTGGTTAGCGAAAAAATTTGCAACAGAGCAAGCCATTACAATACTATAAGAATTGATTAGTAAGGTAAACATTAGTTGAGCATTCTTCCACAGTAGCAATAAATTTTTCATTTATAATTCTTAAAACACGCCAAAACAGATTCACGATTGGTGCCTCTGATTTAAGGTCACACAAAAGTAAATTTGATTTAGCAGACCAAGAGATATTCCATGTCAAATTTACGAGAAAGATCTTCACCAATGTTAAGCTTATTATCTAATATTCATAACAGTTTGGTTAGTTGACTATCACAAAGCTCAAAAGTGCTATCTGCTCATGGTGAAGGACTTTCTAATGAGAACTGGCTTGTATTCACTTTATACGTAAAAAAAAACTAAAAAAAAAAAAAAAAAAAACCAACCATGCAGCATGTTCAGAAAAAGAACAGAAAAGAAAATGTACTCTTAGCATTCAGTAACCTTAACCATTCAGCTACTCGTGGGTATAACTATTGTTCTAAGAGATAAGCAACAATTTTTCAGCAATAACTAATGTACTTTTTCACAGACAGAACTGAACAGTAAAAACTTCTTAAACTGTCGATTCAGATTCTAATTTAGTTTCTTCCTTTTAAAAGCAGGAGCTTCAAAACTTTCCTCATGCTGCTTTTTATTTTGAATAAGCTTCTTGAAAAAAAAAAAAAAAAAATTCCACGTGCAGTCAAACATTTTATGATCTTTGTTTTGATATTGTAACAGGAGGGAATATTTACCTCATCTGATTTTGCATATTTATAAATTCTTCGTCCATAGTTATATTTCCACATATTATTTTGTCTTGAAAATTTTGAATTATTTTTTCACATAGAAAGCATAATTTAAAAATTTCAGGAGGACTTTTAAATCCCCCCTAAATTTGCAAAATTAATTAATTAATACTGCTAATTAAAACATATTTCCTGTTCACACATTGAAAATAAATTTAAAGTAACTATAGTTAGAAATACAACATGAAGGTTTACTATAACATAAAAGCATGATAATAGGATCAAAATGATGCATAGAATATTTAAATTAATACTTCTTCAAAATGCCTAGACAAATACACAATTTATTTATCTTAATATAACGAAAAACCTAAATAATTTATAATTTAGATCATAACTATGTATCCAATTTTTAACAAAGGTGCAAACCAACAGGTTTGGTGACAATACATCAAAATATAGCATGCGACTTTAAATTACCAATCGTAGAGTAAAATTGAAACACGAAAAGTCATATCACATTTCTAACCAAGCACAAAATTTACATGAAATGTAGTGTACAATTTTACAAACGCATAAACGATAATAAAAGAAACATCACAAACAGTATCGGCTATAATTTACTGCACAAACACACACACACATTCCGCAGTTTATTTTGTATTTATAAAATCATTTGATCATTAATAAATGATAGTTAAACGAAAATGCACGTTTTAAAGAAATACGAAGAGTAATTTATTCTAACATTCTATGAGAAAATTCGAAGCTGAACTTACCTCAAAAACATGCTTTTGAGACCGGAATCCATTGATTTTGACGAGAATTAATTATCCATTTTCTTCATCTTTCTTCATTTTTGGCGAAACGTCCTAAACTTATTTTTTGAATGATTGGAACAATTTGATGCAACACATCCACCCATATTTGTCAAAATTAAGTCGGAATCGACCAACAAATATGTCAACAAAAGGACACTGTAAAATAGCGATAGCAACAAGCACGCTTCGTTCGTTACAACGGACGACGCATCAAATCCCCGATGACCACAACTTGTGACGTCACAAAACCGCCATCTGGCTTGTAGTAGAGTCGGTGTTGCCCACCCTTTTCATCTCCACGTTCGAAAAGAGATTTCTGCATTCGATAGGGATAGGGCAGTACACCGCCGGTATTTGACAAGATGAGTAAAATACTTCTTACAGGATATTTTAGAAATCTCGAGTATTTATTTGAGGACTCAGGCGAACACAGTTCGCAAACATCAGATAACCGAGCAGCAGCGCTATCTCGGGTTATCAATGTTGACGATTTTCGATCTGGTGATATATTTGAGCATAACAAGGTGTGTGTCCGAGGTGATGTGTCTGAGTATTTGACATAATTCAACAATGGCTGTTTCAAAAAATTAAAAACACACAGCTTCAAGGAAAACACAAGTAAGCTCTCCTTAGAGTTAGACGTTACCTATAATTTTTAGCAGCAGAGTACTGGGTCTTTTGAGATTTTTGGCCCATCCCGTCTTTGTCATGAAAATATAATTTTTCTCCCCCCTTTTATTGCTCGATAAGCTAGTCAATCACAAATTGTTTTTCATAGCCCGCAATCACGAAGTCAGAAACCTAAGCTCGTCTGATGCAGTGCGTTCTTATTTTCCTCACCAAGAAACATGTCTTATTACGTTATGAAAGTTTGTAAATTCCTGCTTGAAATTTCAGGTATCATTTGTAACAGCCAGGGCCGATCCTAGCGGAGGGCAAGATGGTGGGCGGCCAAACTGAAAGACAGCGAAATGATTATCATGCATATTATATTTTTGTACCAATTTTAATTTGCATGTAGGCAGCCGACGGTCTCGGATCGACCCTGAAAAAAAAATATTTCAACTATTCAAG